TTCTACTGAATATTTCAGAAAATCATGGAAGACACACAATTTGCAAAGAGATTAGAGATCAGCTGACAAAATAATCAGTTCAAAGGTAAAGAGAACCAACTCAGTTCTGCTTTACACCTTCTCCCTCCTACTCAGTCTGCACTTATAAAGCCTAAAATCATTAGAAATCTTTCCAACAAGCTTTCATCTTAGAATTCTTAGGGGATCAGTAAAAAAGTGCATGTTTGCAGGCCAGATATTAGAATGCTCAATGGGTGCCATGAGACCTGAGCATGTTCAGCATCTGAAGTGAAATTCATTAGGCATGTGATTGGTATAAACTGACAATGTTGGATCAGGGTGCTTCTGACAATAGTTAAAATACTGACTACTCACAAAACTCCTTTTTTAAAACAAAATTAATAACGATTGGCAAGTTTTAAGGATTTCTAAAGGAGAAAAATTTGCAGTACTTTCTGAATCCAAATTACCTTCAATCTCTACCTACATGTAAATGATGGAAACCTTACAGCTCTGTTGAACTACTGAAGCTGCTTTCATGGAAAATTAAAAATATGCCTTCTCACCAATGTTATTATTGTGTGGTTCAGATTTCCAACATGAATTTCTCTAGAAAATGTAATTTCCAAGCTTGTGTTTGGTGTAATCCCACCAGCACTCAGCAAATTCATATCTGCTAAATAAAATAAATAACTTCTTAAATTAACATTCCAAAGAATCTAGAAATGTTAAAAAAAAGTCTGCTCCAGGAATTAGTATCCAATTCATATCAAAAGTGGTTTTTAAATGTTGAATAAAATCCTCCCCATTGTGCAATAAACGAAGCCAGTGGGGCTTTTAGGGCAAAAGATGATCCATCACTGCATATTTCAAACAGATCCCAGTGCCTTTTTATCTCTGTCAGTAAATCCTTGGAGAGAACTTTGGAATAGCAGGAACCTTGATAATGGCCTGTTATAAAGGAAGCTCCAGCAAACCCTTCAGAACAGGATGTTGTAACGCACTGAGGACACCGGGGAACAGTTCTCCATCTCTCATTACCCCTTCCAGAAAGCAAAAGAGGACAAAAAAAAAAGGGAGGTGGGGGGTAAAAGGCATCTGGGAAAAATTACTGTGAAGTTCTTGCTGGCCCAGCCTCTCTTCTAGCACTGGGAAGTGGCGACATGTCCAGGATGTAGATGGAACATCAGGATGTACAGGGAGCCCTCCCCAGAGCTCTGCCCCAGCACAAGAGCAGAGCTGGTGGAGATGCTCCACAAGCTGCACTTCACTCTCCTCACCAGCAATGCCAGAAACTGGCACCAGCACCAGCAGGACCGGCAAGAAATGCCACAGGCAGACTGCCAGATGGGAGAGCACTTTGATGCCTTCCAGGAATTGATACCCCAAAGGAGATCCCCAACGTGACTCTTGGCTCGGTCCAAAATGGGACCGAGCAACGCAAACTTCATCTCCCATCTCTTATAACACGAGGCACAGGCACATCAAACTTTCAAAGCCATCAGAGCTCTGCTGAAAACAGTTTATTAATAATACAACGAGTGCTTGTGCCCCCTGCCCAGAGCGCTGCAGGCTCAGCCCCTGTCCCAGCAGGAACTGAAGGCACTGCTGTCCCCAAACAAACACACCTGGCAGCCATGAACGCCTGGGGGGCAGCCAGAGTTGCTGCCACCCTCCCCGTGGCACAAGAGGAGGCTTTCAGGCAGTGTATTTCTCCCCTCACACACGCACAGAATTCCAGCCTGCTCCTGCTGACTGCATAGCTGAGCCAAGGGCAGGACGTGCCTCCCCAGACTGCTGAGGTTAAACCATTCAGTCCCGGTTAATCTGTCAGAACCATCAGTGCAGCAGCAGCAGAATGGAACCTGAAAATCCTACCAGATTGGGGTGCAATAACTGGTAAACCTGGTATTTCCAGCCTGCAGTCAAAACAAACAGCAGAATGAAATCACGGCCCTTTTAAATTTTTTTTTCTTGTTGTTCTTCGTTTTAAAGCAGCAGTCAAAAGGCCTCTTGAAGCCTTGTTTATAAGCAAACCACTCTCAAAGGCTGGATTTGCATTGGCAGGGTTTGGAGTCTGCAAAATAAACCTTTCTAGGTAGTGTTTTCCTTCTGCCTATAAGGGAGGGATGGTTTCTAGCGTAAATTCTCCCAGACTACATCCCTTTCCAGCTACAGTGAGGAAAATGCCTAATTCAACACAGCTGGCCTGTCCGAGCCTCCCTGGGAGCTGCTGCTCTCTGGGCACGCACCTGCAAGCCTCCCTTTGGGAAGGCAATGAATGGGAACACACACTGACAGCCCATTGACATCACCACTGCCATTCAGCGCCGGGCCAAGGCACAGGAGCTGCTCCTCAGTGGCCGTTTCTTTGGCAGAGATCACTCCACTGGGGGAATATTTTATGTTCTGGGATACTACTGGCTATTACAAAACATCTTTTTAAAAGTACACTTCTTTTTTACTCAACACTTTGCAGCTCCAAATTGACTGCCAAGATACAGTCTGAAGCAAATTCTACCACCCAGTGATTGATAATCGTAGAATCACAGAACGGTCTGGGTTGGAGGGAACCCCAAAGATCATCCAGTTCCAACCCCCCTGCCATGGGCAGGGACACCTCCCACTAGAACTTCAAAAACTCCTAGAAAAATGATTTTCAACCCCCTGTAGTTTTTCCTCCCATGTCCTGTGCTCTCCATTCTCCAGGGACCTCTGTGCTACTAATGCCTTGCATATATTAGTGGTTAAGATCACTGGACCACCAGTTGTGCTCAGCTTTTACTCCACCCGTAGCTGCCTATTCTAACAAAGGGCCTCTGGTAAGAAAACTGCACTTTGGCTCCTGAATATTGTTACTGTAATAGGAAAACCAGGAAAAAACGTAAAAATCATAAATTGAAATTTCGACTGTGACAATAGCGACTTTCCACGTCTTTAAAAACTTCATTCTTTTGGCACTCCTAGTGAACAAAGCAGATGTATTTACTACAATTCATGCAAGGTTTTGAGTTCTTTGCATTTCAGCCAAGCTTCATGTACCACAAAGAAATTACAGGATTATTTGTTAATTAAGGTTTGGGATCTTAATTTGCAAGGAAGATTTCAAAGATGCAGTGAAATGAACACGAAATTCTTGAAAAGACATCCCTAATATTTCCTCTGGTAGATGCAGATATTTGGAAAAGCACTTGCCTTCTTGTACTAGGAGAGTTCAAAGCCACTTCTGTCAGCATGATGCTCAGGAGGTCAGTTGAAACTAAAGCCCCTGTACAGCACAGATCTAAAAAGAATCAGGATTTTTCATCTTTAAGAAATCATCCCCTGCAAATCCTGGCAAGTGCCTGAACACGATGCCTGCCCTTCACTCACCTCACAAGGTGCAATCCCACCTGATACAGTCTGAAGAGATTTTCAAAAGTTATTTCCAGCTCCCTTTTCAAAGAGTTTACAGACTCAGCACCATCACTCTCTGTGGTGGTTCAATACCTGACACTGCACATTATCGAAAATGTCACCACCATCTGCAGACCTGAAGAGCCACAATCAAACCCCAGACCCATGGGCTGCTGGGGGGGCCTGTCTGAGCCATCAACAGATCAGAGGGACACAGCAAAGGCAATGACAATCTTCACTTCCCTGTCAATACTGGAGATTGATGCAGTGGGGAATGAAACAATCACACTAAGAGGTGCTCTCTGAGCAGTTCTGCCTTGCAGCACTCACTGCTAAGAACTGCACACCACCTTACAACTAGCCAGCATATAAAATAGGTTTATCCCTGTTCAAGTCCATGCAGCAAGATCACTTAGATGTGTTTCAAATAACAGTTTCTGTTCTTCTCTACTCCTGTGTTTATTTTTCCCTTTCAGCCTCCTACTGATGTGTCACTGGAATCATCTGACAACTTACAAAGCTCTCATTCATTGCTGCCCGAGCACTTTTTCCATTCACCTTTTTCCTCACACTGACTCAAAAGGCTCTGTCATGAAGCCTGCAGCTCACTGATCACTGACTGCTTAAGGCTTAATTGCTGTGCACAAAACCCAGCAAACACCAAGTCTTTTAAATGTCAGCCAAGAGCAGCACCACCTTCCTCCTCCTCTGCTCTGCCCACGATGTCATTGTTTTCAAATCTTCCAAAAAAAGCAAACTGGTGTGTCTTCCTACCCAGGCAACTTCACGAGCAGAGATCCTATGACCTGTGTAATTCCAGCTGGTTCAAAGCTTCCATAAAGGCCTTTTCCCAAAGACATACACCCAGAGCTCAGTGTGTTTACAACAGAGTTTAGGGTTCTAATTATTTGCTACCCTCTCTCATCATATTCCTGGTTTTCTGCAGCCACGTGGGAGCGTCCAAAGAAGAAAGTATTTCAATAAAACAAAGAAATGTGAGAAAGTTATTTATAGAAGTTTCAAACAACTCCATACATAGTCAACTTCCAGTCCAACTACCAGTCATAGGCAGAAATACAAATTTTGTGATACTTATATGATAAATAATAAATATTTACTTAGTATAAAAAAATATTCAGTGCACTGGGTTTCAGTATCAAAGTTTTGATGAAATCTACTGAACAAATTCTAGGCCCTGCCGGTGTAATTCAGGAAATTCATCTTGCACTGCTCGTTTTTTCGAATTCCCACACGACAAGTGCTACACCACCTACATGAGTAGGGCAGGAAGAAATCTGAATTTGTTATAACACCAAAAAAATGGATCGGGATCAGGCCACCATGTTTCTCCACAGGAAAGGAATCAGGTTAATCTTAAATAGTTCCCTACCATTTATGTACACATAATTGTATTTTTTCTTTTCCCCTGAAGCCGTTTAACTGTGGAGACGTCAACCTGTAAGTACTTGAACACGGAGAGCCACCACAAGCAGCTTGTTTATTCCCTGAAAGGTCAGTATTAGACACCAGGTTTACCTTATCCAATACAAGACAAATATTCCTGGTTCCTTCTGAGAGGAGAAGGGAGGAAAGGCTGTACTCACTTGTTGAAGAGATTCAGCCCAATCCGATAGTGGCGCTTCCTGATAACGTCGTTACTGAAGGCAGGGGAATCCCAGCTGTTGCGAGTTTCTTTGTGGTAGGTTTGTTTGCTCAGGGTTTGCTCCCTTAGGCTGTCTCTAGAAGAAGATTCCGAGCTGCAGTTTATCGTGTCATTCGAGTTGGAAGTGCTGTTGATGCTGTCGTTGTCTCCGTCGGAATAATCCGACTCCGACTTGCTCTGCCTGTTTGCTGTGCCATTGATGGCCAAGTGACTGTCTATAGGCCTGGCCCTGTGTCTCGCCTCCTGCTCCTCCCGGGTGATGATCTTGGCAGGAATGCTGTGAGGGATATGTTTTGGGCTTCCCTGCTGACTCGTGATGCCCCGGTCGTAGGCATTTTGTCTCTTTAACGAGCCCCTCTCCGAGCGATCGCTCAAGTCCACGGAGCTGTCACTGGGTGGCTCTATGGTCAGCAAGGGCAGGTGATCCATCCTCATCCTCTGCTCCTGACATTCCAGGGACGGGGTACTCCTGCAGCTCGTATCAGTGTCTATCTTATCATCTTTGTGGGTCATGGACCAGTACTCCTGGGAAGAGTTCACAGAGCGGAGCCTCAGATCCGACTCTGTGCTGGACGGCCTGTCCACAGACTGGGAGAGGGGAAGGGGTGGAGACAACTCCTCCTCATCGATGTACAACGTGACGTCGCTGTAGGACGCCGTCATCTCGTCGAGCTTCCTGGGATCCACGTTGTGGATGGCTGGTTTGGCTGGAGCGCAGCTGTCCCTCTCCATTTCACGGCCTCTGACCTGATCTGCAGCCTGGATCTCGTCAGAGTGCAGACTGCGGCAGTTCAGTGCATCATCAATGGACTCCGCCAGGGATTTCACCTGCCTGGAAAAGGCATCCTCCAGTTCTGTTATGGCATCAGTAAAATCAGTAGATGCCGCCGGAGACTTCATTGGAGTTGTCTCTCCAAGGTCATCACATTCAGACGGTACCAGGGATCCCAGCTTCGAGCCATCATTCGTAACAGAAACTTGTTTCCCCTCGAAGTAAGAGCTGTGGACTTTCTCAGGCCCTTCAAAGGAAAACTGCATTCTCATATTGGACAGGACGATGCGCCTCGACATGCGATTTTCGGACATAGAACTGCGGAGGCGCTCGAAGTTCTTGTTCATCTGATACTGGCGAAAGGCGGTTTGGATGGTGCGAGCAGCATGTCTGGTTATGAGACGGCCCCCATACTTCCGTTCTAGCATCTCCACCTGCAGGGGGGAGCACAGGTAATCTGGAGCTTAATGTAGGTTAGAACGAGGTTAAAGAGTAGGAAAAAAAAAAAAATAAAATTCTTAGGACAACTGCAATTTTCAAACGTTTTTCAAAGAGCGCACACTGGTTTTGAAAGCAAAAAGCTCAAAGCTCCAACAGCGAGAACTGAACAGCAAATTCCACCCTGAAATACAAAAATATGACTGGGTGAATACTGTCACATAGAGCTGTGCTGTTGGCAATTTGTGGTCATTTAAGTGTTGGCTCCCACACACATGAGCAGTGGCGTGCCATGCCAAGGCAGACAGGACAGAGCTCTACTGCAGCATATTGCTGGCACTCTCTCTGTGGGGACAACTGCAGAGAAGTGAATTCCAAGCACAAGGCAAATGGCCACATTCTGGGAGTAAATTCTCAAAGGGGTCTCCACCTTCCAGACAGGCACCTGCATGAATAAAACCCACGGAGCATCGTTTCACCCAGGCCTGATACCCAACAAAACTGAGCCTCCCAGAACACACACTTCCAGAGAGGTGTCTCTTGACAGAATAGCCACAAACACATTTTTCCTCAAACCAAGAACGTATTTCAGAGTTTCTTAATACAAATCCAAATTTTTTTTCAACCTTGTAACTACTCTCAAAATTGCCAGTGTTTCCAATTAAAGAGAATGAATAGGCAAAATAAACACATAGAAATGCTATCAATTTAACCCAGTGAAAACAATGTGTCAATACCTCTGAAAAGGTTATAGATTTTCAAAGCTTTTCTTCCAAAACAAAAGCAGCAGCATAGTATCCTAGAATGGTTTGGGTTGGAAGGGGCCTTAAAGGCCATCCAGTTCCACCCCCTGCCATGGGCAGGGACACCTTCCACCAGCCCACGTTGCTCCAAGCCCCTCCAACCTGGCCTTGGACACTTCCAGGGATGGGACAGCCACAGCTGCCCTGGGCAATCCTCAGTGTCTCACCCTTTTAGTTTTTTAAAAAACACTGAACAAGATGAATAACTACATTTCTTTACCCCCCCCCCCCAATATTTAATTTCTGCTCTGATTAGTGTTTGCCAGATCAATACAATTCACAAACACAAACCACCTATGACAAATCAATATGTTTAGTGCTACAATTAAACCCAAGTGATTTCTTCTTGCCTGCAAACTCAGGTACCCTTTCTCATGAGACACCATGTCTTCTTTAATCTCATACCTTGGAGATCTCTCCAAGTAATCTCCAACTAACTGTTAAGTTCAGACGCTGACATGCAGAGGGATCTTCATCCCCCTTCTATGAAAGGAACTAAATACGACTAAAAATTATTTTCTAGTCCATTCTGTCTCTCATTTGGGAGGAGCTGATGTATTTCTTTCAGTGCTATTGCCAGGTTCAGCAGCTCCCATTCCCCTTCCACGTTTATGATCACCTTTTTTGCTCACTGAATCACTGGTTTGTTTGTTTTTTTTTTAATTAATTATAGAGGCAAAAAATATTCTGCACAGTTATTGGCATAAACTAAGGAGGCAAACTTCTCAGGTGGACTGAGATCAGGGTTACTGGTAAGGAATTGTTCTTTTGACTGTATCTTTCCATTTCTTTTAACAAAGCTCAAAAAGCTGTTACTGATCTCTGACCAGCTCCAAATTCCATCTGGATTTACATTTCCAGATGTAAATTTCTGCATAATTTTCTACAGTTTCTCTTTTGAAACAATTGTTCAGCCTTTCACTCCCAAATGGGGCGTTTTGCCCCCACATTTGCATGTGCCAAAGACACTATGAGGTTACTTGTAAGGCACTCTGAAGATTCAAAAATATTCAAAAAATTATTATGAACGTAATAATCTATCACAACCTTGCCACTGCTGCCACACACATTTGCTACTATTTCTATTTGTAGTATATATACAAATATATATATATGTATATATATGTGTGTGAATATCTGTATATCTATTTTTATAAATCATAAGAGATTATTTTGCTGGACTAATCTCAAAACAAACTAACTGTCCATTCAGTTCTCCTCTCAAAACTAAATGTCAAACCTAATGAAAAGTAAACTAGCATAGCTAGAGAGAGAGAATTAAACACAACCTAATATTCCATAAAATAAATTACCTGGACTTTATTCCTGCAACAGGCTGTTGTCCTTCAGCTTTACACAGAAAATAACATTATCATTGATTATAATAAATTGGGGGGGAATTTAAATTGAGAGTATTTTCCAACTTGCCTAGATGAGTTAGACTTGTGATTAATATTTCTAATAGATTTTAATGTCTATTTCAAGCACCTTTTCAATGCATATTTAATACAGGTTACCTTTAGGTCTTGGACATTTTCCTACATGGTTTTTAGCATCTTCAGCTATTTCAAGGAGAGCTTTTCAAGAGCAGTAACCAACTCTTCAGTATCAAGCTTCCTTCATGTACCATTGTCACTTTTCCTTGTGTGAGACTCCCTGAACAAATACAAAATAACATCTGCAGTCCTCGTTCTCCATCAAACTGGCACAAAAGGACAGATGGAATGAGGCTCTGTGGAATACCTGCAGTGCAAGAGATCTCTTCAGAAAGCCTCACACTCTGTATCAACCCCTGGTGAGACATCCAGCAAAAATCACTGGAGAGCTCTGATCTCACAAGGAGCTCCAATTCAGTAGCAGAGCTGGCATCAGGAACCTGGTGTCCCCACAGTTTGGTAAGCATGGAGGCTAAACCAAACTTGTGCCTGCTATCCCAAATATTGGATATTCAGCTTCGAGGCAGAGCTCAAGATCTGTTCCTCCAGGTCCTTCTGGAATGACATCTTATGATTCCCTGCCCTGAAAATGAGAGTTAGCCCCTATAAATTTCCCTGACGGTCAATGTTTGGTCCAAAATCAGGAGTAGTTGGTTTCCTGCCTATGGAATTTTGCCCCTTTCACCATATTAACAGAGAGGTTGGAGTGACTGTGGAATTTACCTCGATGACCCCAGGCTCTTGGGGATGGGCCTGTGCAGGGCCAGGAGCTGGGCCTGATGACACCTGTGGGTCCCTTCCAGCTCAGTGGGTTCTGTGATTCTGTGGTAAGATCTCTAACCTAAAAAACCCCTCCAAACCAAAAAACATCGATGTATCGGCTATCGTTCATCTACCACTGAAATCCAGTGCATATTTGCTTACCTTAAACTCTTGGGGCACCATTTTCAAATCATAAATGGGAACTTATATGGCGATAAACGTCTTTCAAATAGGACTACATTCAAAGCAAACCCTAAAAGGAAAGGCTGACTGTCTTACAGAAGCGCCTTTTTAGGGACAAAGCCTTTGAATATCTACACCCAGTTCTTTGTAAAGTATGTGGGAGTTTTGCCTAGTTGAGTAAAGCCAACTAATGCCTTGAATTCACCCCACAGGTACAAGAAAATATCAGCTGCAATAAGCTGTTCCTTTCTGTCAGAAACAACAAAGATATCCAGGTTTCAAAACGACTCATTTGCTCAGGAAAATATTTTGCATTTTTACGTTCTAGTACTTGCTCCGAGCACAAGTTCCTGGTAGAACTGTTTTTATTATTAAAACTATCAACACACCTTTTACACCTTTCTTCAGGTAGGGAGGAAGGTGTATGGGACACAGGGGTGGCACAACACAGGATAAAAGAGTCATAAACCTCAGAAATGCTGGCACACGACTATTTTGAACTAAGCTGGGCACAGAGAAAAGGCATTTTCAGCACCACAACTGAAGCAATTTACAGTTTACAGACACGTCGCCATTGCCTCAAATCAAGCACCAAGGCCCAAATAATTAAATACCTGCTTATCTTGGAGGTCCGAGGAGAGTTCATAGCTCTCAGAAAGCGACCGTGACCGTTTGATGGCCTCTTCCTCCGCCTGTTTGCGCAGGATGGACGTGGAGTGCTGCAGTTTGGGCCTCCGCGCCCGCTGCCCCGGCGAGATGGAGTAGAGCCCGTAGGGAGAGGGGTCGTAGTGGTCCGGGCTGATGGCTGAGCTGTGGGTTATGGGGCCTTGGGGGTACCCAGACGGACTATCCAGGGACGTGCCGGTCTCACTGCTCGGAGCTTCGCCCTCCACGCTGCAGGAACGAGAGACAGGAGAGGCTCGGTGAGTGCTGCCCCCCCCAAACCTCAGCAACCAACAGCACAGCTCTGCTCGGGGGCCTTTGAGCCCCCCAGCACGTTTGGTGGAAGCTGTTACACATTTAGTGCAGTTGTTACACATCTTCCTGTCAAACATCACTGTTTTTGCGGGACTCTGAGCAAGTCTCAATTTGTCGTGCAGCCATCACCTGCAGATCACGAATAGAGCAGGACAGTGCAGGTTTCAAGCACCAGGTCACTTTGTACAGTAATTATTAATAACATCCCGACTAAGTCAGTCAGCAACTATTGCGTAAAATGAATGAAAACTTCTAATTTCTTATAATACTGCTCATTTCTGTAATAGAAGGGTTAACTTTGTTCATAAAATCTTATGTGTATGAGGGAATAAGGAACTTTTGTTATAATTCAACAAGATAAGTTTCATGGACATCCTGTTAATTAAGCAAGTGTCAGTAAAAATAACTGCAGACATCTTGCTAAACAAACAAGTATCAGCATTGGTAAAATTTACAGCTGATAAGAACTGCAGCTTTCATCTTTGACAAATCCCAGATGACCACTTAGCCATCAATGAACCACGAACTCAAGCCTCAACGCAGCCACATTCAAAACTCGGGACTTGGAAATGTATAAAAAGGAACATTTACTACATTTTCAGTGTGTGTCTCGGGCGGGGTAACTGCCCCCCAGGCCACCCAGCGCTGTTTGCTTTATTATGGCTTGCTTAATAAATTTATCAATGTTTAATTGGAATTGAGTTGTCTAAATTCTTATACTAACTTCTAACAATTTCCAAGTTGTTCTGTTCAAAGCGACAGATGCTTGTTGGTGTCTTTCCTTGCTTTGACAAATTAAAGCAATATTTTCTTACCCCCATATTACAGTTTGACATAAAAGGATTACTTTCCCAGAGATTACTCAATAGAGAGCTGGGATTTAATGGACCTTGAGAGCTACTAAGTTTCTAGAGACTAAAGTTGGTGAAAAGTAGCTACAGGAGAAATCTCATTTATTTCTCTGTTGGTGAAAGACTGCTCCCATGGGATACTTTTGGCATCCTTTGGAGTAAAGCACCCCATGGGATGTTGTTCACAGCTAATGAAAGAAACGTGCTTTCAGGTGAAGAAAACACATTAGAAACTATCTGGCAAACTAAACACTTTGTTTTCATGTGAATGCTGCTAAGGAATAAAGGAAAGGAAAAAAAAACATTTTTGTATTAAAAGGGTGGTATGTAATAGGAAACATTTTAAAACTGAGCACTAGGTGTATCCTGAGGTCCTGATGACACAGCAGTTTGTAGTGTAGGGCACTCTCACACTGCAACAGGATTTGCACTCTCACTCTTCCACATCATCATATGTCTCACATCAGTATTTCCTGTCTGCCTCACCCTGGGTACACAGAGCATCGACAGCAGAACAAAACTCTACTTTTTTTTTTTAATCCCTCAAAAGATTTAGGAAGCACTCCACACATGACCAAATATAAGCATTTGCAGCACTTGCCCCACCTTTTATTTTAGGAGAGGTACAGCCCAGCTCTCCAAAGGAGTAAAATTCCACATTCTCACCACATCCTGTATTTCTTATTTTGCCTTCATTCACACGAAAAGGAACATAAAAAACCAAAGTCCTCCTGTTGTCTCTCAGCAGTCCCTTCAGAAAGTACTGACTGAACATCCTCCACCAGGAGAGAAGAAGGTTAACACTGGCCAAGCCCTCCCAGCTTGAACAGTGGGTACTTTTAAAGGGAAGGAGAAAAAAAAAGCCCCTTAGATTTCTTAAAATGCTTCTATAAACATGGAAAACTGAAAGCAAGTACTCTTTCTTTGCCCATCAAAATATGACTCTACCCGAAAGGTATTTTCAAACATACTTAACCCAAGCTGGAAATATTTTCAGTGTGCACACATTACTTTTTCCAAAAAGGAAGCTGACAGGAAACTAATCCCTTTCCCCTCGTGATCCAGCTGGCTTTCGACTTCAAAATGATAAATTAGCCCCAGTTTTGCTAGTGACACTGAAACTGTGTAACCACCCACCGAACACAAACAAATCATCCTCCCTGCAGCATCCATTAAAGAAACAGCATCACATTCTCCCTTTAAACTCTAAAATACCTTTCTCTGCCCTGCCAACCCTGAGGCCACACTGTTCTGCACATCACAGGTTCCTAGAGCAAGTTTATGTGTAAGTACTTTTCATGCAAGTATGGAAAGTCTGTTTCTAACAGGAAGGCAGGAATTATCACTATTTCCCCCTTCTTAGGTTTGTACCTTTTTTTGCCAACCTCACCACTGTGAGCTATATAATAACAACCCTTCCATGTCGACTATAACCTCCTGTTGGCATTTTAATAATGATCCATTCAGTGGATCACTTAACCTTGTCAGCAACAAAAAGGCACTGCCCCAGCAGAAGAAGGTGGAAGGAGGTCTGCCCAGGGCTCTGATGAAAGTTAAGGGTTTCTCCTCAATTTTAGTTTGCCTCTTGTACTTTTTCCAGATACAAATGTGATGCTTGATCTCCCAGGCCTATTCCCTACCACCCGACCTGTGAAGCAGGGAATTAATTACCTTTCCAACAGGCAGCCTCCTGCAAACAGCAGCCCTTCAAAGCAAACCCAGGGGCACAGGCAGTACCACATATTTCAGGGCTTTCTCCCATCCAGCTCTTGTGCCTCTTGAGGAGCAGCTGAAGCTCCTTATGAGCTCCTGCATTCCAATGAACTCCACTGGCAAGGAAAAGCAGCTTGCTTTCTACTTCCCACTACTGCACGTATGTTTGGAAAAGACAAACATTTCAATAAATATGACTCGTGTGAGGCTGTAAGGGTGACAGGTTGGATTGCTCTACTGAGGGGGAACAGCACTCAGAGCTGGTGGAAGTGCTCTCCAAGCCACTTTCCATCGTCCATCACCAGTCCTGGTTAACTGGGGAGGTCCCAGGGGACTGGAGGTCACCAAATGTGACACCCATCTACAGGAAGGGACAGAAGGATGGACAGGGAACTCCAGGCCTGTCAGCCTGACCTCAGTGCTGGGGAAGGTCATGGAGCAGATCATCCTGAGTGCCACCACATGTGCAGGACAGCTGGGGGATCAGGCCCAGCCAGCACGAGTCTGGAAAAGCAGGTCCTGCTCGACCAACCTGATCTCCCTCTGTGACAAGGTGAGCAGCTCAGGGGTGAGGGAAAGGCTTTGGATGGGAACCTGGATGCAGGAAAGCCTCTGACATCCCCAGCATTCTCCCAGAGACACTGGCTGCTCATGGCCTGGATGGCTCACTGCTCACTGGGCTCACAACTGGCTGCTGGACCAGGGAGGGGTGGGCAGTGGAGCGACATCCAGCT